TCTTTTGATTTTATATTGTCGTGGCCGGATTGATTTTGTCTTCAGGAGTTCCGCGGTGGCCCAATTCCAATGTGGGTCAGAAGTTTTCAGACTTTCTCCTAAGGAGATTTGATTTTGGCCTCAGGAACTTGGGTGTTGGACTGACCTGAGATTCTGGCCTTGGCCGTGCCACACAGGGATGCAAAGGCAGATGGGGTGGGAAGAATCCCCAAGATTTCCCAGGGAGTGGATTGAGTAGCTGGGTTGTACTGGATGCAAAGGATCAGGGAGAGGAAAGGTAAGCCTCGGAGCCCCAAAAAGAGGCTGTCAGCCCCAGAAAGAGGCTCGTGAGTGTTGCAGGGCCAGGGAAGTAGAGGGAGGTGAGGGCGGGGCCAGGTCCAGAAGCAGTGCTCCTGGGGCCTAAGGAAGGCACTAAGTTGGTCTGGGTGAAAAAGATCAGGAAGCAGTATTGGTTCCCCAGGTGTCTGGGGACCCAAGGCAGGGAATGGCGCAGGGCCCAAACTAGGAGTAGAGAACAGCGGGGGAGATGGAAGGGTGAATGAGGCCGGGGGAGTCAAGGCGCGGAGGGCTCCGCGATAGACCGACCTTAAGAGAGGCCTGAGGGTAGGAGAGCAGGCCGGGAGAGCCAGCTGGTGGTGCAGGGCCAGGGAAGTAGAGGGAGGTGAGGGTGGGGCCAGGTCCAGAAGCAGTGCTCCTGGGGCCCAAGGAAGGCACCAAGCTGGCCTGGGCGAAAATGATCAGGAAGCAGTACCGGTTCCCCAGGTGTCTGGGGCCCCAAGACTAGGGATGGCACAGGGCCCAAACTAGGAGCAGAGAACAGCAGGGGAGATGGAAGGGCGAATGTGGCCGGGGGGAGTCAAGGCGCAGAGGGCCGTGGGATAGACCTAGTCTAAGAGGCCTGAGGATAGGAGAGCAGGCCAGGAGAGTTAGCCGGTGGTGCAGGTCCAGGGAAGCAGAGAGAGGTGAGGGCGGGGCCAGGTCCAGAAGCAGTGCTCCTGGGGCCCAAGGAAGGCACCAAGCTGGCATGCGCGAAAAGGATCAGGAAGCAGTACCGGTTCCCCAGGTGTCTGGGGACCCAAGACCAGGAATGGCGCAGGGCCCAAACCAGGAGCAGAGAACAGCGGGGGAGATGGAAGGGCGGATGAGGCCGGGGGGAGTCAAGGCGCAGAGGGCCGTGTGATAGACCTAGTCTAAGAGGCCTGAGGATAGGAGAGCAGGTTGCCATCAATAATTTTTATTTAAAATGTCAGGCTATAAAGCTTAATGAGGGAGAAGAAATACTTGATGACCATCATAGGGCCTACATAACCTTGAAATGGTGGTAAATGCAATTCTGGAAGAAAAATGAAAACAAGCTAAACTTGCTTCTGCAGGGTATAGAATGATGGCCATTGCACGCACAATTGCTATCATACACACACTACAGTCGATGTTACACCCTTTCTCTGTTAGCTACATTACCCTATTTCTCACTTAATATAGCAGACCAGTTTACCATGATCAATCTTTTCCCTCATACAGTTAGTTTTACATGATCTAAAGGAAGAATAATGGTTTCCTAAATGGTAGAAAAGCTCCAAATGTTTAGGAAAACTTCTCTTTGCACATCAGGCTCAAATCCTAGATCACCTGTTCTCTAGCCAGGCCAATAATGCCACAAGCACTCAAATACACACTAATCCCACATCCCTTCACACTTCCCTCTTCTTGGGAATAACATCTCCTCAGAGGATGGAGATGACAATTAACTGAGGTACTATGTTTAAGTAATTAACCCCAATGTCTGGCACATATTAGGAATTCACTTTCAATACTTGTTGGGTATTTTATAGCTAAATGGATATCATTCACACTAAGCTGTGATCTGACAGCTTGGACCCAGTAATTTTACAGTAAAGCACATGTGTACCTCTTCAGGGCATCCACTGTCCACCCAGTCCTGTCGATGACGATCAAATCCACTGGAGCATCTTCATTGTTGTTCAGGGAGGAATTGCGTGCAGGGAGGAGATCAGAAAGAAAAGGAAAAACATTGGTAAATAAGTTGTTCTCAAATTATCAGTTTAGTACATCAACTTTCTGCTGCAGAACTGAACACTGTTCAGTGCAGTGTTCAGGGGGTTACGTCACTCCCTCATCAGATGTCATACTGTTAACATTGCACATGACAGGTAACGCATCACTCTCCTGAGGCTGAGTACAAAAACACAATGCCTGTCCTTCACAAAGATAAACCAGTTGTTAGATTATGATGTTGGATTTCCTTTATTTTCTCACCCCATCACTAGAACAACTGAACAAAATTATTTTTGCAGTCATCATTTTAAGGATTTTTCATTTATTTACTCATCTCTAACTCACAAACTTTGTATTATATAGTTAAGAGATTAACTCAGCAGTTTTGAGGTCTTCAAGCAACTCCTCAGAGACAATCTCTAAACCTGGGATATCCTGCTTGATAAGAGTGTGATTTTAAGTCTTGGGTTATGCAAGATAGACTATGCAGGCAGTATGAGTTATTGTGAATGACAGAGCGTATTCCAGGATGAATACCTGGGTTGTGCTGTATTAGATTGACCTTTGGAGAGCTGAAGACTGAGATATAGGTAAGGCTAGTCACAGAGGTGTTCCATACCTGTGTGGCTGATCCCATTGGTGTCCCCTAGACACCAAGACATGATAAGCTTCCATGGTTGACAATACTTGTGTATTGTTACACGTTATTGTTGGATGAAGACAATCCAAAGCTTGTGTCTGGTCTCACATGGGTTCTTTCTTGAGTATGTGTTTGATGCATGTGTGGTGTATACACTGGATTCTCTGTGTGTGTGTGCACGCGCATGTGCGCATGTGTTCACGTGCACACTTGGGAGCCAGCTGAGCATGTAGGTATCTTGCTTTATCACTCTCTGTCTTACTCCCTTAAGAGTAAGCCTCCCACTGTTCCCTTTTATTTTTTTCTATAGCCTGTCTAAGTGCTAAAAATGTACTAAGATTCACTTTCCCACAGAAACTAGGGCTGGTCTGGTGGCCATCGATCCCCAGTGCATCTTTTATCTTGCCCTCCCCCAGCAAATCTCTGGGGATACAGGTGCACATGTGACGGTATCTGGATTTTTAGACACATTCAGGGGATTTGAACTCAGGTCCTCATGTTTGTGTAGCAAATTCTCAACCCACTGAGACATCTCTCTAGCCCCATATGTTTATGTTGTAATGGTCAAAATTGATTAAGAATATTTTAAATTTGAGGTCACAGTCTTGTACTGATTACATCTAATATATTTGACACATGATATCATTTTTGTATAGAAATTCAAATTATCGTTTGCCAGCTTATAGAAGTTAAGGATTCACATTGCTGCTTAATACTTAAATATGTGTTCATATCTAAGAATCCACAGTGATGTATTTTAACCTAACAGGCATTTACATTTATTTATTTTACAAAATAAATGTCACTCAACTCATATTTCTCATAGTGTTTCTGGTTTTAATTTGTAAGCTTTATGCTCTTACTTGCTTTGCAGTGAGTTCACATGACAGTCTTTTCTAAGAATCCCCACCAGAGATGGACCACAGCATAAAAGAGCATAATATAATTGAAGTAGAATGTGAAAACAACTTTACTGTCAACAAGACAGGCCCTACCTGTCATTCTCTTCTGCCTGATCCATTGAAGCTTGGTAGTGTCGCACCTACCATCTGTGTTGAACAAGCTCAAGTGTGGAACGAGCCTCCATGTATGCTTCTGCATTCCGGCACTGTAACTATCCAACCGGCGGAGGCTGTTTCTGCTGCCCTGTGACATTGTGCTGCGAAGTACCTATTTAATTCTGGGTTAGTTAGATGACTGCTCCCTTTTATTTTTTTCTATAGCCTGTCTAAATGCTAAAAATGTACTAACATTCACTTTTGGTAGGTGTGACTAAACCAGTTTTCTACAAAATACTGCTTTGGGGAGTCAGTCATTTGACCACTAGTAATTAACTAGAACAGATAACTTTTAAAGCAGTTTATTTTCATATACTCTATTACAAGTGTATCAATAGTCAGTAGGATAAACTAACTTTTAACTTAAAACAAGTAAATCTCTGTCGCTCCTCATTTTATCTTAGAAAAATTAGTGCCTTACTTTGTTAAATATACCAGGGAAAAGTACAGAACAGAGAGCTTCCTTAATTTATTAAACAATCCCCCAGTTATATTGTGTGAAATTAAGTTCTATTGAAAATATGCAGTTCAATTAAGTAACTCATTTATTTATTTATTCACAACTGAATTCCTAATACTTTATCTATGGTTTACTGAGGGAGAGGGCCAGGAATGGCAAAGCAAGTAAGAGTTGGCTTGAAAAGTGCATCCTTTCTGTAGGTTATACTGCAATAGAAAATGAGTAAAGCTAGGACCTGGGAGATAGCTCAGTGGTTTGAGAGCTCTCATAAGGACCCCAGAGCAAGCATGAGGACTTGAGTTCAGATCCCTAGCACTTATGTAAAACGTGAGGCACAGTGGCATGTGCCTGTGGCACAGAGTCCTGGTGAAGTGGAGACTGTTAGACTGACCTTTGGACAGGCAGAGAACACACAATTAGAACTAAGGCAGCTGAGGTAGAATTTTTGTCTTAGGCACATTTTTATTTCTCTCCTTTAATGACAAATTGGAATTCATTTTTTCTCAGCTGTCAACTTTGCTGCAAGTCTACCACAAAACTGTTACTTAGATACTAAAAATGATCTCTATGGCTGGTTGTCCAGCTTTTCTAGGTGAATACGTGAGCTCCAGGTTTAGTGATAGACCCTGTTTCACAAAACAAGGTAGAGATTGATTGAGGAAGACATCCAACACTGACTTCTCACCTCCACATGTATGTGCACAACCATCTGCCCATGTACATATACACACATGAATACATACATACATACAGATGTACCTACAAAAACTGGATCGTTCCTTTTGGGTAATTTTTTATTTAGACATGACAGAGAAGCTTAACCAATGAAGTTTCCATATGTGGTGGTCCAACACGATCTGCACAGTATCAAACTAGTTGCTGTGCCAACGTGCATGGGAAAATTTCACAGGGTCCCACCTCAATATGAGGCCAACCAGGACTCAGTGCATTATAAGTACATATATATATGTATATATATATTTGTGTTTGTATAACAATCAAAAAAGAGGGAGGGAGGGAGAGAGAGAGGGAGAGAGAGAGAGAGAGAGGCATGGAAGGATTCCCAAACATAAAATAAAAATTTAAAATAGCTAATTTAAATAACATCCAAAAGCAACTGTAAACAAAAAGATGCATACATGTGCACGAAAGTGAAAATGGCATCTTTGAATTATTTACAAACTCTAAGTAAATAAATCACTTTGAGCCATACTTTTCTGTCTTTACTGAGATACTTCTTAACATCACACACACACACACACACACACACACACACACACACACACACACAAACAACCATAAGACATTTACTATGTCAAATTTCAGTACGCTGATTTCCCAACAGTTGGACAGTGGTTCACAACGAAGCTCCCTACAATGCAATAATCCATGAAGCCTGCTGAAATGTGGTTCATGAGTCTCACTGAGTGAACCAATCTGGACTCCCTGGTAACTGTAGCTCAGTAATTTTCGATGCAAACAAACACTATTCCCACACGATTCTTGCCACACTGAGATTCTGCAACCACTGCTTTTCAGCAGGTTATTACCATGACCCATGCCCACTTCTGTGATTCACATAATAAAGCTCATCTCTGTGCTCCTCATAGTCCAATAAAAGCAAATTTCTCGTCTTTCTGATCTTGCCCTGTTCTTTCCCAGTGCCTTCTTTCAATATGCTACTGCATATGTCTGGAACATGTAATCAGTAAAACCAAATGCAAAGCCCATTTCTTGTCAGAAAGAACTCCTTGTCCCACACAGCACTGTCAGTGATTCCGTCTCAGCCCCTGGTGTGTGTGTGTGTGTGTGTGTGTGTGTGTGTGTGTGAGTACAGGTGCCCACGGAGGTCAGAGGCATCAAAATCAAATACCCTTGGAGCTGGTGGTTGTGAGGTGTCTGACATTGGGGCTAGGAAATAACTCATATCCTTTGCAAGAACAGTATGTACTCGTAACTTCTGAGCCATCTCTCTCGCTTCAAATTTCCCTTTCTTTGATAAATGTTCTATTGTATTATGACAATCCTGTAGCCCCAGCTGGCCTGGAGCTCACTATGTAGACCAGGCTGGCCTTGATCTCACAGGCCTGCCTCTGCCTACCAAGTGCTGGGATTAAAGGAGTGTGCCACCACGCTCGTCTTTGACTTTATTTTTGTTGTTACTAATTTTGCTGTATGTATATTACAAATCTTAGGTACTTAGGTACTAAAAATAACCTATAGTTAGGTACTAAAAATAACTAACACATTCCAGACTTTGACCTTGTACCATGCACAGCTTTAGACAGACACACATAGAGACATACACGCACACACACACTCTCTCTCTCTATATATATATAGAGAGAGTATATATTCATAATGATTCAGTTAGCCTAAATAACATCACATCAAATCCCTTTTTTGTTAAAAAACATTTGAAGCGGGCATGGTGGCACATGCCTTTAATCCCAGCAATTGGGAGGCAGAGGCAGGCGGATATCTGAGTTCGAGGCCAGCCTGGTCCACATAGTTCCAGGACAGCTGGGGCTACAGGGAGACCCTGTCTCAAAAAGACAAAAAACAAAAAACAAACAAAAAACAAAAAACATTTGAACTATATTTTCTTAGTAATTGAAAACATGCAGCATACCATCAACAATAGCAATGTCCTATGCAATAGAACCCACCAATATTATTATTCTCATATAATTGGAACTGTGCTGTTTCTATTTTCTAAGCCTGTTTCCTCATCTCTAAAATGAGCTGGGGACATGAAATAATCATTAAAAGCCTGATATAGGGGAATGGTCTACA